GGGCTGGCCCCCTCCCCTGTCTCCGCCCGCAGTACCCCACCGCCCCCCGCCCCGCCCCGGAGCGGAGCGGCACTCACATCTTATCGAAGAGCACTTTGTACTGCTCGTCCCCGCGGCCGCCTTCCACCTCGTGGTCCAGCTTGGTGATGATCTCGTTTTCGAACTGTAATTACACAGGGAGCGCGTCAGCGAGCAGAGGGGTGGGCGTTTCATCCTGTGACGGATGCCAACAGCCACACCCACACACCACATGGGCATCTGCTCATCAGTGAGGGATCACCCTCAGAGAGCCCCCCACGCCTCGGAGCCGGATTTCACTTAGGAGTCGCTGTCCCCCAACCCCTGGAGATGGCTGACTGTCCCCCGTCACCAGGGCCCCCTGCGTTTCCTTCCCCGGTTGATGGGGTCTAAACGTGCGGATCCTGAGAGCAGGAACAGGAGCCAGAGAAAGAAGGGAAACTGGAGGGAAAATTTACGGTGTGACATGAGGCCATGAGACCACGCCTCGAACTTCATTGTGAGGAATAAGAAACATCTAAAAGAGCTCCGTGGCTCCCGGAGAAGGACGGATGGAGAAGGACAGATGGCGTTTGCTCCCCAGGAATCTGAACACATCAGGGCCCCAATGGAGCCCCGGGGAACTCCTCCCTCTGGTTGAAAGAACGTTGTAAGACAAAGAGAGGCACTGTCACCAGAGACACACCCACACGCCTCCCAAAGCCTGGGGTGGGGCGTGCAGAGACCACGGTGCGAGGAATGGTCACAACACCTGCCTGACCCTCGGACCCGCGCTTTGGGGAAAACTGGGATCTGTGAGGTGCAAGTCTGTAAACGTTTTCAAGGCTCCATGACCCCCCCGTAGCTGATCGAACTGGAAATACAACCTTGACAATGACACACGTGTCCCCATCCTGGCTGCCCAGCCCCCTCTCCCTGACAGAATTCAGAGCCCCCTGAGGACTGGGATTCCGGCCAGGTGACCACCACGTGTAGGGGGTCCTGAGGTCAGCCATCGACCTTGGCCAGGCAGGCATGAGGGGCAGGAGGGCCTGAAGGAAACATGGCTGAGTTCAGGTGCCGGAGGCAAGCACACCATGGACTGCATGTATGTAAGGGTCGCTGGGTCCCGTGAACATATCTGCTCAGACGCTGCGTCTCCAGGCAACCACCCCAGCCCCCCCCTTATTATCAGGATCCCACGGAGTTTAAGCTGCGGGAGATGAAGACGTTCCTTCTCTCTTGGTCACGGCTGTGTCCCCAACACCTAGGACAGCACCTGGCGTGGGTGACGCTGAGGGGACCACACATGATGTGCATGTGATGTATGTGCACGTAAATTCCTGGGTAGAGTGGGTGCTGCATGCAGCCAGGGGGGCTCACTCTGTCAGCAGAAGGTTTGGCTGGCAGGCTGCTAAGACACGCCTGCTGTCTTGGCCATGCAAGCCACGCGTGAACACATGTGTCTGAATGCTTGTCACAGGTCCTGCAGGCCTGTCTGCTGCCCTGGGGACTCTGTGCATGGCAGGTGCAGTGGCCGTTGCCTGTGGCTCCCCATGGAGCAGAGGGCAGGGGGTCTGGGCAGCCCCATGGCGAGCCTGGACACGGGCCCAGGCCTGCCTGACCCCGACGGCCACGCGGCCGAGCCCCAGTCCCACCCACTGCACATGAAACGGAGCTGCCCACGGGCCCACAAGGAAGCACTGGTTCCCGCTCGACCTCATGCGCTCCGCAACCTCGTGAGAGCTCGGGCCTCGGCGAATCCCCACAATCCCCCTTGATCTTCTCCCCCGACAAGCCCCACCCCCCCTTTTGGTTCTGTTTAGCCTCAGCAGAGCAGGGACGGGAGCAACACAGGAGCGAGGGGTTTATTGAAGGAGAAAGGGTGACCTGCTTTTCATTTCCACCTGCAGCCTCATGCGATGGCTTTTATTGTAAGTAGCGGCCTCTGGATGACCCGCGACCCCTCTGCTCTGCACAGGGGCGCGTTCTGCAAAGGGCGGGTCTTGAGGGCTCCCGTGCGGGAGGTGGCTGCTCCCAGCGGGGCTGGCGTTTCCCACAACCCCACCTCCCGAGCCAGGCCCCGCTGGGAACGCCGGTGTCCGGGGAGGGCTGATGCTTCAGGAGAAATCACTGAGACACAAAATGAGACTCCATGTCATGAAAATGCCCGAGTCAATCCCACTGTGTGGCATGAGCACCCAACACGGAAGGCAGCGGGAGCGCAGAAAAACACGCGTGACCCTCACGCAGGCAAGCACACGTGAGCATTCCAGACAACTCGTCCTAGCTCATCAGACGGCACTGAACTGGGCATGGCATGTTTTCTGTGCTCCCGTGTAAACCGAGCTGCCACCAGGAAGGGCAGCAGGGGAGCCCGGCTCGTTAGTCTGCCGATCAGATTGAGCCTGAGGAAGCTGATGTCTTCCAAAAAGAGCCCGTGAATGATACGTAAATCAGAGCACCCTGCTGAGCCTCGTTTGACAAACCTCCGGTCTACACCAGGTCATCTGCACCAACACCTGGCAACCCCGTGCTGTCCACCGGCAAGGACTCAACCCACAGACCCGCAGCGAGCATCTGATCTCAGGGTCCTCGGGGAGTTTTCCAGAAGGTGCTAGAAGCCACTCGCTGGAGACAGGTTCCTGGGGAAGGCGGTAATGGGAACGAAGTGAAGCTGCCCGACTGAAGGGGAGAGAGTGCGTGCTGGCAGAGCAGAGCTGGCTGCATACGTCGCGTGGATTATCCCCGAACCGGCCTGCTGCTGGGTCATCTGCAATAGGTTCCCCACGGGCTGAGGAAATTAGCGAGTTTATTTATTGCTGGAAAGGGGGCAGGAGCTCCCTTGTGTGATAAGTGAAATCAGTCCAAGCATTTTCCTCTCTTTCTGAATAGTCAATATCATACAAAATACCCACCGGGGCCTGGCTGGCGTGGCTCAGGGGTTGAGCGTCCACCTAGGAGCCAGGAGGTCCCAGTTCAATTCCCGGCGGGGCACATGCCAGGGTTGTTGGCTTGATTCCCAGTGTGGGGCGTGCAGGAGGCAGCTGATCCATGATTCTCTCTCATAGATGTTTCTTCTCTCTCTCTCTCTCTCTCTCTCTCTCTCCCCCTCTCCCTTCTGCTCTGAAATCAATTTTTAAAAATTAAAAAAAAATACCCACAGGGGCCTGGCTAGTGTGTCTTAGTGGTTGAGCTTCAACCTATGAACCAGGAGGTCACAGTTCTATTCCCGGTCAGGGCACATGCCCAGGTTGTGGGCTCGATCCCCAGCAGGGGACGTGCACGAGGCAGCCGATCCATGATTCTCTCTCATCATGGATGTTTCTCTCTCCTTCTCCCTCTCCCTTCCTCTCTCTGAAATAAATTTAAAAAATAATAAAAATACCCACAGGGCATCCGACTGAAACTACTGCACAGAGCACCCTGTGCGTCCGAGCCAGCTGCCGTCCGAGCACACGGAGCGGAAGAGGCCACGTGAGGCAGTGCTTTTGGAAGGTGCGGTCACATTGAACGTGGAGGAGCGGGGCTGCTCGCAGGGGTACGGACATCGTTGTTAATTAAATTTACGTGGAAAGGAAGCCTTGCTCAGTGCCTCGGCTAACCTGGGGTTACCGGCTCCAACGTAAGCGGTCCTGGGGCGAAGGGTCTCCGCCGGGGATAGTCCAAAGCTCGTTCCATGTGGTTGAGAAGCATGTCCGTGTTTGGGGTGAAGGCTGTCGTCTGGCTGGAAGTGTGAAGTGTACGAAAGGCCTACGTGCACTTATAAATGGATGCAGCCAGGCCTGCCCTTTGCAGCCACCTGCCTGGGATATGTGCGAGCAAGTTGGGCAACTGGGCTGGGCAGGGAAGGTTTGCCTAATACTTGCCCGGCGGATATGGCGCCTAGAGGTTGCCCAGAGCCGGGGCAGCTGATCTGGGAACATGCTAGGCGTCTGTGGCAGGTGAACCTGAGCGATGGCGGCACTGACGCTGCCCAGCGCGCTCTGCTTCCTCCTGGTCTTCAAGATGCTGATGAGCTACCGGACATAGGACCGAGGCCTCAGGGCCCCCCTGGCAGCAGGGAGCGTCCAGGAGTCCAGGAATCGGAGTCCCGGCTTCTGACCCTGCAGGCGGGACCAAGCCCTTCCCGGGAGAGGGCAGGACCACGCCCCCGGCCGTGGCAGGGACAGGAGGGGTGAGCGGGAGGAACCACTGAGCCGTGTCTGCGTGGAAAACGTGGCCCGAGAGAAGCAACGGGCGTGGCTGGGCAGAGGGCAGCTGCTCGCCACCAACCTGGGTGCGGGCTCGTGTGGTGACACCCACGGAGCATCGATTCCCGCAGTCTGTCACTCCGCTCAGACACACTAATGTTTTCATGTGTCCTGCAGTCCTTGCTTAACCGCTCGTAAACTTAATTACACACTTAATTAGTCTTTGGCGCTCCACATCCCACATTCTAACATCTCCACGTCCTTCCGTGTCCAACGAGCAGGCGGCTCGCTGGCCTTGAAGTTTCTGTGAAATACTCCGGAGGCCAGAGGCTCTGAGGCCCCAAACCCGAGCGGCCTGGCCGGGCCCCAGGCTGGCAGCTGCTCACTGGGCAGCACCTCAGGCAGGTGCGTGACCGGATCTCGGAGGGGCTCCCGGCTGCCTGCAGTGATGGCCCACGCCGGGAACACGCCCCACAGCGAGTCCCATTCCATTTGGTTAAAGAAGATGCTAGGAGTTTGGGCACCTGTGGACTGGAGGGCTTTTAAGAACAGAATGTAATGGGATTAGAACTCTTGGAGTCAAGGGTAAGGGTTTCCATGATCTCTCCAACCGCTTCGGGTCTGTGCTTTAATGAAATAATAGCCTAATCTTGTCCGTGTTTCCCCTTTAAGCATCCAAAAGGACAGACTCGGGTATGACTCTGAAATTGAAATCAAAATACAGCAACCAGCACAATCCCAACGAACTGGAGAATAAACCGGACAAAATCGCCACCAAATGCGTTCACATTCATCTTCCAGAGCAAAAGGCATCGGCTTCCCCATCAAGTAGCAAAAGCTGACCACACCCACTCGGGTCATTCAACTACTTGCTTCTGGTTACCAACGCGGGCGTGGGCCGGCACTCACACGGCAACACGGGCACAGCGCGGGCACAGAGATCACTCATGTGCGGAGGCCTTACCGCCACCCAGGAGTTTCCGGAAGTCCTGGCGCACCTTGGGCGCGGGCCGGCACTCACACGGCAATGCGGGCACAGCGCGGGCACCGAGACCACTCATGTGCGGAGGCCTTACCGCCACCGGGAGTTTCCGGAAGTCCTGGCGCACTTTCCGGACCCGCGCAGAGATGGCCGGAACAGCTCCGTGACAGGAAATCTTATTTTGCTGTGCAGCCCTTTCCAGTCCCTTTTTATTAATGGCCTAGAGCCCCCACGGTCATTTGCAGCCACGCTCAGCTGTGTGTTCCGTATTTTCCAAAGACGTAACAAATGGGACTCTTTGAGCAGGTGCCAGGAGAGGAGAAGTGTGCTTCTCGCAGGAAGCAGAACCCGGTGAGTCTGAGACGGGAAGGGGTACCCAACTGGGGGGCAGGGGACTCAGGGAGGTGGGGCGAGGGGAGCCACGGGGCCCCATGGCCCGGCAGGTCTGCATGAATGATCTAAGCGCTGCTAAGACTCAGATGCCCAAAGCTCTCAGGTTGGCTGAGCAGATGCTGAAAGCTCACACGGAGAATCTCTCCTTTGAAAAAGAAAAAATCAATATCCCCCAAAGTTCTAGTTTAAGTGTAAACAGCCCCTCAGGGCCCAGGGGACGGTGAGCACAATTGCTGTTTTCTCTGCAAAGAAAGAGACCAGAGAACGTGTCCGCTGGGACTCGGGGACAGGAGAGGAGAGAGGCACGGGGCCGCCTGTAAGAACAGGGGGACACCAGGTCACGACGGAGTGACGGAGAGGCTGGGAGGCCCAGGGCGGCCAGAGCGTCGGAAGCTCTCAAGGAGAATGGAAGAGGCAGAGAAGACTTTTGCCGCGTGGAGACGCAGAACAGAGGGGCCACATGCACGGGACAGAGACATCACCGAGGCCCCAGGAACAGGACAGACAATGGAGGGGGGCTGTCGTCCCTGTGGTCAATGAGGGCAGGCAGGGGTCACCCCGGAGGGCACAGCCAGAGTGGACACCAAGCTGAGGTTCTCGGAGGCACTCTCGTCTCCCTGCTGCCTGGGCACCCACAACGCAGGCGCAACGCTGACAGGGAAAGAGGGTGAGTCAGCCAGTGAGAACCTGGCGGTGGGAGCGCCGACCAGGCCACAGAGAAGCCCAGCAGCACCCACCCTCTGGAATGTCCCCTTCGGAACCACGGGACGCACGCATGCGTGTGCTTGCTGCACGTTTATTTGGAGAAGAGACGATCTGCACGCAGCCTACGTGCCCAGCCCAAGGGGATGAAGAGGAGGGTGGCTGAGGCATTTCATGAAAGGTTACGCCAGCCCGTTAGCAGCACGGTGAGCTGCTATCTTTGGTATGTTGTCCAACAAAAAGAACGAGAGAATGTGGATAATGTTGACAACATTGCAGTTACATTGGCACAAAGGCAGAGGGTGGGCCAGAGGGACAAACACAGCTGTCCTTCCACAACAGACTCTCCATTCTGACCAATAGTGAACGTGAGGAAATCATACTCACCCCTGGGGAGAGAGAGAGAAAGGGAGGAAGGAAAGAGGGAAGGAGGGAGGGAGGGAGGGAGGGAGCGAGGGAGGGAAGGTGGGTTTTATGGGTTTGATTTTACTTCTCACAACACCCCTTTCGAGTACATTTATGTTTACACCCATTTTGCAGCTCTGTATTGGAGACTTAGTAGCTTGTTCAAAGCGCAGATGGTAACCGCCTAAGCTAGGAACCTCGGTCCACCTGACTTCTGTGTCTAAAACTCAACTCCGAGGCGGAGCCGAGGTCCCTCTAGCTCTGCACCTTGCTTTCATTCCAGGGAGCAGCACGGCCATTCTTCATGGCTACCCCCACCTGCAGGCAATCGCGGTGACGAATGACCGGGGAACTGTACCCGCAAACTGCGCAAAGCTCCATCGAGTAGGGAGTGCAGGCGGGGAGGGAAACCCCTGTAAATCCTCGCTCCCGCCACAGTCATGCCAGCATGAGGGACAGGTTCATTTCCCTTCAATGTAGGAATTTTTCTCAAAATTCCTTAAAATCTACGTGAAGTCACTGTTCCCTCCCTTGAAATGCTGCCATGTTTAACCAAAGGGCTTCCAGGCAGAGGACGCCCTCTCGCCTGGATCCTTGTCTTGGCTTCTGCAAAGCATCACGGCCAAACCACCTGCCCAGTAGCGAGCACGCCACTGCGTGTCCGAGCACATGCGTGTGTGACTGAGCATGCCACTGCATGTCCGAGCACGTGTGTGTGTGTGACTGAGCACACCGGGGAACTGTACCCGCAAACTGCGCAAAGCTCCATCGAGTAGGGAGTGCAGGCGGGGAGGGAAACCCCTGTAAATCCTCGCTCCCGCCACAGTCATGCCAGCATGAGGGACAGGTTCATTTCCCTTCAATGTAGGAATTTTTCTCAAAATTCCTTAAAATCTACGTGAAGTCACTGTTCCCTCCCTTGAAATGCTGCCATGTTTAACCAAAGGGCTTCCAGGCAGAGGACGCCCTCTCGCCTGGATCCTTGTCTTGGCTTCTGCAAAGCATCACGGCCAAACCACCTGCCCATGACTGAGCACGCCACTGCGTGTCCGAGCACATGCGTGTGTGTCTGAGCATGCCACTGCATGTCCGAGCACGTGTGTGTGTGTGACTGAGCACGCCACTGCATGTCCGAGCACGTGCATGTATGACTGAGCACGCCACTGGTGTCCGAGCACATGCGTGTGTGTCTGAGCACACCACTGTGTGTCGAGCACATGCGTGTGTGTCTGAGCACACCACTGTGCCGAGCACATACGCCACTGTGTGTCCGAGCACATGCGTGTGTGACTGAGCACGCCACTGGTGTCCGAGCACATGTGTGTGTCTGAGCACACCACTGTGTGTCCGAGCACATGTGTGTGACTGAGCACGCCACTGTGTGTCCGAGCACATGCGTGTGTGACTGAGCACGCCACTGGTGTCCGAGCACATGTGTGTGTCTGAGCACACCACTGTGTGTCCGAGCACATGTGTGTGACTGAGCACGCCACTGTGTGTCCGAGCACATGCGTGTGTGACTGAGCACGCCACTGGTGTCCGAGCACATGTGTGTGTCTGAGCACACCACTGTGTGTCCGAGCACATGTGTGTGACTGAGCACACCACTGTGTGTCCGAGCACATGCGTGTGTGACTGAGCACACCACTGTGTGTCCGAGCATGTGCGTGTGTGACTGAGCACACCACTGCGTGTCTGAGCACATGCGTGGGTGCCCACCCGTGACTACATAGGCCCCTCACGGGCTTCCACGGGACCCAGGAAGGGGTGCTGCTACTTCTCAAGGGCCAATGGCTCGGGCTGTCCTTCCTGCCGAGCCTGCGTGCTCGGAGCCCCTCGCACACGCTTTCATCCAGGAACTGACATTCGCGCCACCGCCCGGCTCAGGGACCCCGTTAGGAGAACGAAAGTCGAGCCTTTGGACTTTAAAACAGGGGTGGGAACGTCCGGCCCTCGCGCCAGGTAAGGCCCTCGAAATCACTTGGTCTGGCCCTCCCAAGGCGTGAGGGGTGAGTTAGTGAAATGTCTGACCGCCTTGAGCAGGCTAATTTTACGTGGATAATTGTGTGTGGCCCGCGGAGGAAGTTATAAACATCCAAACGGCCCTCGGAGGAACAAGGTCCGACCCTGGTTTAAGATAACAGACGCTGGCAAGGCGCAGCGGGTCTGAGAGGACACAGCGAATCGGAGCAAACGCTCTGGCGCCTACGCCGAGGTGGCTGAGCAGGTCCAGACAAAATGAGTAAGAAAAGCTAAACACGGAGACAGTTCTCCCACAGCTGAGAGCAGGGGCAGGCCCTGCAGCAGGAAGTCCTGGGCGGGGCCCTCCCGAGTGTGGGGAAGCAGGGTCTCCAGCGAGCGCCATGGACGCCAGAACCACCTGCGTCTTTCTCAAGGTTTTCAGACTCGCCCCCACCCCCACACCCACCCCCACACACCCACACACACAAACACACACCCTTACCATCTGGAAGGTGCGCGTGGAGTGGAACTCACACTGCATCATGTCGAAGAAGATGGGGATGGTGGCCTTTCGCAGCTCCGTCTCGGGGATCAGCGTCATCTCCAACATGGGGCCGACCATTTCCGGAATGAACTTTATCTTGTGCTGACCTTGAGTAAAGACACCCATTCGTTAGAAAAGTCTTTAAAAACGGATTCTGGACTGGGCTTCAGTGGACACAAGGACACAGGCCACGAGATGTGGGTGCCGGGGGCGTGGGAATGAAGAGGCATCCATGTCATCCGGGGGCATCATGGACACGCCCAGCCTTGCATGGGAGAAGTGGACGGTGTCCTGATTGTTGTAACTGAAGCCACTAGAACATCCAATACGAAGTCTGTAGCCCTGACTTCTGTTAGAGGAGACCAACACCGTTTCACACGTACATGATGTGAGCCCACAGCGAAAGGAGCGGGGCTGGGAGACGCAACACCCGCTTCTCAATTTGCGGACAATGAGTACAGGATAAGGCGAGGGCGTCTGAGCAGATGATCCCATCCTCTCTAGCTCTGGCATCTTATAAAGAGGAGGTTTCCACCCGGCCGGGGTGGCTCAGTGGTTGAGCACCGACCTATGAACCAGGAGGTCACGGTTCAATTCCTGGTCAGGGCACATGCCCGGGTTGCGGGCTCGATCCCCAGTAGAGGATATGCAGAAGGCAGCCCATCAATGACCCTCTCTCATCATTGATGTTTCTGTCTCTCCCTTTCCCTTCCTCTCTGGTATCAGTAAAATATATATATATATTTAAAGTTCTACCCTCTTTAGTGTCAAAAATCTTGAAATATTTTCATTTCACCCCATTACAATTTATATCATTTCATTTCCAACATATGCTAGAAGAATGCGCAAGAATTAAACGCTTGAATTATTTGAGGCATTTTGTGTTATTAACACCAGCAATTTATCCAGTTAATCAACCTTAATAGTAATTTTACACACTCAGAAAATAGAATCGATAGTCTAAAGAACTTAGTTTCGTTTGTAACTCCGCTATTTGATACGGATTTCTAGACAGAGAACCATTAAACAAATCTGGCTCTTATAAATAACTATACTTCACATGCTACATAATCCTCCTCTTAGTCTAACTTAATATATTTCTAACATTTGAATGGGGTGGACACAGTCACAAACTATAACCTTTGATGAGGAATCCGAATATAATAAAAATCTGAGGTTCAGCTTTTACTGAATAATTAATATTGTGACTAAGGCCAGACTCAGGGGATTCTCATCACTTCCCAGACGCTCCGTGTTTCTGAAAGGCGTGTAACAGCTGCGAGCCATTCTCTTAAAAACGCCATTATCCCCAGTCTCTCCGGTGACACTTTTCTTGTGTTTTGCCCAAAAATGTCAGAGCCAATGTTTCAGAAAATAGTTGACAGTGACAGCGAGTTGTTCATCAACCACAACTTGAGTGTCACGGAGCGCTCTGCTGGTCACGGCGGCTTTGACGCTCCCGGCTGGAGGGACAGGCGCTGACAAGTGGCTGTGGGCGCCGGGGTGGAAAAATACGCTACAGGGCGCGGCGCCTCACCTTGGAGACACCCTGGCCCTGAATACGGGGGACTGGCCGGGGCCAGCGCCGAGCTCCGTGGTCAGGGCTCTGCCAGGACTTAACCATCCAGAAGGAAGGCCCTTGAGGTGGGTAAAGTGGGGGCTGGTAGGGGCTGGGAAGACAAAGGCAAATGGGGGTAACGGGGGGGGGGACACATCTGCAATCCTATCAACAAGAAAAAACAAACAAAAAAACACCAATAAAACATACTCTCGCCCTAACCGGTTTGGCTCAGTGGATAGAGTGTCGGCCTGCGGACTGAAGGGTCCCAGGTTCGATTCCGGTCAAGGGCATGTACCTTGGTTGTGGGCACATCCCCAGTAAGGGGTGTGCAGGAGGCAGCTGATCGATGTTTCTCTCTCATTGATGTTTCTAACTCTCTATCCCTCTCCCTTCCTCTCTGTAAAAAGTCAATAAAATAGATTTAAAACAAACAAAAAAAACATACTCTCAACAACCAATAGGCCAAAGAAGAAATCAAAAGGGAAATGAGGAAACATCGGAGACAAAAGACAATGAGAACACAACATACCCCAACTTACGTGAGGCAGCCAAAGCAGTACCAAGAGGGAAGTGAATAGTAATACACGCCTACATGGATTCCTTACCTTCAACACGCATGTCCCTAGTGCTCTGATGGCGCGAGCATGCTGAGCCGCCACCACCTGGTGCAGCGGACCTAAAACCGGGTTGGGTTTGGAGTGGGGACTAGACCCTTGGGAAGGCAGAGTAGATGACACGGAGTCCAATGTGATGGCACGTGTAACAGTAGGATGAGCTACGTGCTTGGATGCGTGAGGCGGTGGGGGGATGTTCCTGGCGCCCAAGGCTGAGCTGTGGACGCCTGACATGGGAGTGCTTTCCAGACGCTTCTATGTGCCCCGCCCACCAGATTCTCCTCCTTTCACTTGGCCTCCCAGCTCTTACTTCCTGAAAAGAGTTCTGGCAACGAACAGCAATTTTTCCCCAAGGAGCAGAAGCCATGGACATTTGTAGATGCCCCAATGCTGATGAACAAGGCCAATGCCGACTCCCACCTCGGACGGGAGACAGTCCACCCGATGGCCGAGACTCACCGAGGTTGTACCACATGTCCCTGATCTCGAAGCCGATCTGTCTCCTCATGTCTCCATACCTGAAAGGCAGGAAGGGGAAAAGCGCCCGGTCACTCTCAGGGCACGTGAAAATCAGACCAGGTTATTTGTAAGTGCGACCCCGTCTTCCATCCCTGAGACGCATAAAGAGGAAACGGCGCTCTTTCCTTTGCCACCAAAGGGGATGGAAGGAGCTGGGAACCACACTTACTCATCACCACACACTACCTCCCCCCCACCCCTCCCACCGTGGGACTTGGGGGAGGTGGTGAGAGTAATGAGAGAATGTCACTGTGTCACTGTCTTCATTCTCTAAGGGCAGGTGAGAGAGCCCAGCTCCTTGGCCCAAGAGGGGGGGTGGTGTTTTCCGTGCCTGTTGTTAGCATCAGGCCCTGCAGACCCTAGTGACCTCCCACGCCCCAGAACAGTGAGCCCTGGTGTCTACACTCAGAACAGGGCCGCCTCCTCCAATGCCCCCCCTTCCTCCTTCTTCATCAAGTTCAGTGCGAGGGAGGGCTTGGCACCGCCTACTCTCAGCAGATATTCCCCCAAGTTTTTTGTTTACCAGAAAAACAAATGCTAATTTTCCTCCCCGTGGGCGGGGAGGGTGTATGTTTCCAGAGTAAACAGAATCCTGAGGCTGCAGAAGATGAGCCTTTATGAGCTGGTGAGCAATTTACCTTTCCCTTTATTGCCCGAGGAAAAGGCTGATGGTGTTAAACGTAATAACTGGTGGGATTAGCTACAGCTTTCGGTTTTCCAGCCGCTCGTCCTCCTCCTGTCAGCTGACGGGCCGGGCCCCCTGAGTGCAGGCCACTGCATGTGGCTGGGAAGTCACAGGGGAGTCAAAACCCCAGCCCGCAGCCACCTGAGGGTGAGGCCTCCGTGCCGACACCCCTGCCCATCCTGTGCAGCAGGAGGGCGGCTGATGCAGGCCAGTCCCGGATGGAGAATCTGAACGTGAAGCCTCAGCCCCTCCCTAGAGGGACAGGCTGGTCCCCCGAGGACATTACCTTCCAGCCCAGCTTCACGACCCACCCCCAGCCGGCTGTGCTGAGTTTTCCTGGGCTCAAGCCTCTGGCGGCACAGGGCTGGGCGGGAAGTCACACACTCACAGAATCCGAGGACGGCTGAGCCGCTGCCACCGCCGAGACCCCCTCTGAACCCCTCACCGCAGTGAGTGGCCTGGGGGCTAACTCTCTATCCGACGGCAAGGCCGGGGGACATCGGCCTGCCCGGGCAGACTCACTTGTTCAGGATCTTGACTCTCTTGGCGCTTGAGAAGTTCTCAAGCTGCAGGGACTCCTGGGAGAGGAACGCGACCGCCAGGTGGAAGTAGTTGTTCCAGAGCTGAAAGCGACGGCGCAGAGGGTTAGCGGCTCAGCAGCGGCCGGCCACGCGGGCACCTCGTCTGCCCAGCGCCCGAGGGCAGTGGCTCTCAACCTTGGCTGCACATTAGAATCATCTGGGAATCTTTTTAAAATCCTGATTTCTGGGCCTCATCCTCCGGAAATTCTGTTTCTTTGTTATGGGGTGAGGCCACAACATGAGTAACAAAGAAACAGAATTTCCAGAGGATGAGGCCCGGAAATCAGAATTTTAAAAAGATTCCCAGGTGATTCTGATGTGCAGCCAAGGCTGAGAGCCACTGCCCTAGGGAACGTTTCAAACCATGGGCCCTCTCCCCAGCTGCCAGCCGGCCGCCCCGGGTGGGGCTCCTGGCTGAGCGTGGGCTCAGTCCCCGGCACTCCGACGCCAGCTCTGCCACACGCGTAGGGCAATCTCTCTCCTCTCCGTGCCTGGGTTTCACGCTGAGCTCAGGGGTGCAAAGCCACTTGCCGGCCTCTCACCACCACCTTAGAGGCTCTGAGAAAACCCTGGCAGCCACACTCCCGAGACCCCGTGGCCTCCCTGCCATGTCCCTCCTTGTCCCCGATCCAGTACTTGCTCTTTGCCACAGCTCCACCCTCTTCTTTACTAAATGGAGCAAATACCCAGAAGGCACAACGTTCAAGCCTGGGTTCCAACAGGACACACTGTAACCACCATGTCCACACCTTGGTGTGCGGATTAGAAAGAAAAGATGGCGCTCAGAGGAGCAATTTGCGGTAACACGGCTTCCCGACCAAGGTCACGTCCGCCTGCCTTTCTTCTCTCACCTGCAGCTCGAAGTTGGCTTGATCCAGGAATTTTTTGTTCAGCATATCTGCATACTGATTAATCGCTCGCAGGAAGACTCTGAAAGATCAAGAGGAAATTACATAATTACACACTCCGCTCCGGCCCCTCCGTGGGGCTGGCATTTCAATTAGACCCAATCCGAGGCGGTCGGGGAGGTGAGCTCTCCAGGTCCTGGGGAAGGTGGCGAGGTTTTGCCCATGAAAAACCCAGACAATTACACGCAGACTTAATCGGGGGACATTAGCGAGTGCAAGATAAAAGAAACAGGCGGAAATCACGGTGTCTGAATGTAACATGTGAAAAGCATCACCGGAAAACCCACTTTCAAAAAGGCGCAAATGAAGCCCTTTGCTCAAGTCGCAGTGTCTAAACGTTACCTATGACACTGGTCTTGGCTCAGCGGGCTTCGCAAAGTTAAGCTCTGACAGCGCTGTACCCCCTGGCGTGGCGGTTCGTCTTATTCCAGTATGATTTGTCCTATAATTCAAATGCTAAATCTTGGTCACTGTTTACTTGTTTAAATGAAAATTTTTAAAAACCTTTAATAGCGATGTAAGTGCTTTAACAAGAACTGTCGCAGGGACGCTGACTGATTAATGATGATGTACCGTTTTCAGCACCCAGAGCAAAACATCGCATCCTTCCACGCCCTCACTTCTGTTTTTATGATGAAATATGCAATGTGGACTCTCGTACATGACTGAACCAAGCCCTTCACCAGCTTGTTCATTTAGATTTTCTTTATTTTTTTAAAATATGTTTGTTTGTTTTTTTTCAGAGAGGGGGAGGGTGAGGGAGAGAGAGGGTAGAATGATGAAGAGAATCATCGACCAGCTGCCTCCTTGCACGCCCCACACTGGGGATCGAGCCAGAAACCTGGGCATGTGCCCCGACCAGGAATCGAGCCCTGACCTCCATGTTCATGGGCCAATGCTCAGCCACGGAGCCACGCGGGCCGGGCCGGATTTGTTTATTACTCTTTCTTTTTTTAAATATATTTTATTGATTTTTTACAGAGAGGAAGGGAGAGGGATAGAGAGTTAGAAACATTGATGAGAGAGAAACATCGATCAGCTGCCTCCTGCACATCCCCCACCGGGGATGTGCCCGCAACCAAGGCACATGCCCTTGACCGGAATCGAACCCGGGACCCTTCAGTCCACAGGCCGACGCTCCATCCACTGAGCCAAACCGGCCAGGGCCAGATACAGCTTTTTAAGTGACCCCTCTCTTTGCCCACAGGCAGGATGCAGGAGGAATGCGCATGAGGGAACAGGTAATAAAGCAACCTAACCAGGCAAAGAGAAACCTCAACAGGGGATTCCTTAGGGAAGAATCTCCATCAGCTGCTGTCGTTCATGAGTTAGTCCTGACACGTGTCGAACTAGGGAAAATAAGCAGGAAACACATTAGAAGCTTCTGTGTACAATCTGCTTCCCGTCACAGGGAACATGAAGATGATCACAAGCAGCCGCACGACCGCAGCAGGCTGCCTGCTCTTCAAGAGGAGGCTCAGACGTGGCTCAGCACAGCTCCAGATCCAGCCTTCCTGCTGGGAGCCGATGGGG